TTTCCCTTGACATTAAATAATTTGGTTTTAGTTGTGACACAATTTAATTTCTCCTGAATATCTATTTAAAACCTCTTTAATATTATCAACATTTAAAATAGTTCCAACTTCTAAAACAAATCCTTTATCTAAAAAGTGGTTTCTCAGTAATTTGAGGCAGTGTGCTAAATCTGCAAAAACCCATATTTTTTTCGTTACAATACGGGATTTGGAGAGGGAGATTTATTAATCGAAATCTGTAACTCTTCCCACAAAGTACTAGATCCTCCTAATTCAGACACTATTGCTTTCATTTCTCCTCCAGATGACTGAATATGTTCTATGAGTGAAAAAGAAGTTCTTTGTTCATTGGAGTGTTAAAACAAAAAATAAAAAAAAATGCTGGTTGTTTTCACTGCGAAATGAGACCTATGATTAAAACAAACTTCACTTTTTGAAAAGGACCGAGAATTTGGTCCAGTTTAGAGTCATACTAGAGTTTAGAATCTATATGCATTTTGTCGAAACTGAGAACGCATATTTTTCCTACAGAATTCAAATATTCACATCTTTCCTTCATTACAGCAAGAATATCACTCTGAATTCCTGGACTAACAAAAATTTAGTGCGCCATCTCTTTAATGTGCTAATACTTAAGGAATTGCCATATTTTTTTTTTCTTTCTAAAAATCGTAGCTTTTAGATGACAGAGCTCTATGACAATGCAACACAAAATATATCTTCACTAGTCAACCTGATTTTTTTTCCTTCTTTTCTAGCAATGCGTTAATCTGCATCTTTGTAAAAATATGCATTTAGACCGTTTTTCAAATTCTCTGTCTCTGTTTTTTTCCTAATTTCGCTGTTTGGGATTTTAATTTTCTGAATTTCCGATACAAATTCTTTCTAGATGTCGTCACCTTCTTTGTGCTGAGCAAACTTCTAAAATTTTTCTTTTCTCTATTTTTCAAATTTTTTACAATTTTCTAAGGATATTTTTTTTCAAATTATCAACCATTCTTTTTATCTTTACCACTTAGGGCACAGGGATAGTGTCACATAGGGCATGCATTTTGAGTTTTATTTCAAATCATTCACATTTGATTTTTATTGTCAGCTTCAATTTCGTTTTGGCCTCAAATAATTTAATTTGGTAGTCTTTTTCAAAACATGCTGCATAGTTTTTTTCACTTTCTCCGATTTCTTGGTGTTATTTTGTTGATGCTGCACGATAAATTTACTTTCACAGCATTTCATTCAGAGTTTCTTTTGCGCAACGAAGCAAACCATTTTGTCATGCATCTTCATAATCACTGCAAAAAAAAATGTTCGCTGCAAAATCTTGTTTTTTTCATTAATGCTCCTGTCTTCGACATTTATGTATCCATTTTCGTCAGCAATTGTCCTTGGGAAAGCATGAATACAATATCTCTTCCTTTCATATTTCTATAAGTGTTACGGCACGTTGCTACAGCACAAGATGACATATTACATAAACGATACTTTACAATATAGAATTAAAAAGGAAAACTGACTAAAACTATATATATATATATATACAAATTATTTTAAATATTTACATTACCAGATAACAAATATGTATGATTAAAATTAATTTGGGATATGTTACCTCCAGAAAATTGTGTCGCAACTGAATGAAACTACAGTTTTAAACGCCTGAAATCAGAGCAGGTGAAGCACAGACACGTCCGATTACTTCCGGTTAACCCCCTCCACGAGGCTCGTGTTGGCGAGGAGTCGAGCAAAGGAATGACCTAGCCCTTTCTATTTATCCTGACATTTGGAAGTGCCGCCTACTATCACACGGCATATGTGGCAAATATTACATATCTTTGTATACTCGGATTGGACTCTTCAAGGAAATACAGTTTTTCCTTGGACTTCAAAACCAACAAACTGCTTTCAGCATCGGAGGATACAACTATCCATCACCAGAAGGAGTTCTCACCTGGAAACACCGACGTCTTGTCTGAAAGACCCTGCTCAGAAAGCTGCCAAAATCATACTAGGGTGGAAGAAATACAACACAGACTACTGTCTATTTTCCATCCCAGATGCTCATCGGTCGCAACCTTCATCTGCCTTGTGATCTCTTGTTTGATTTCCCTCTGCATGTGCCTTCAATCGCGTGAGGAATACATCCAAGATCTCCAATGCACAATTTTGCATGAGAGCGAGTCAACTTGGGGACGGAGAAGATGAAGACCCGATACGACATGAGAGCTACTGGACATCTTTTCAACGAAGGTGGGGTTTCAATGAGACAAGGTGTGGTTGTGGAATCCAATCCGACGGAAAGGACTGTGTTGTAAACTACAGTCACCTTTGGAGGGTCCTTACACAGTCCTAAACAGGATGAACAACGTCGTGGTTCGGATCCATAAGTCATCGAATTCTAAGCCTAAAGTCGTTCATTACGACAGGTTAGCTTCTTACTATGGGTATAGTACATAGTGTATATAATGCAAATAGTATTTGACCATGGTCTTTTTTGTTTCGTTTCTAAATTTGTATTTGATTTGATTTGCATTTAGCATTTAATTTGTTTTAAGTTACTTAATGCAATTATTATTTGTGTTGTTTGTTATTTTAACATAATGTGTATTGTTGAATTGATGCTTTAGTTTTAAGTATGGCTTTCTGTCCAGAGATTGTACTGCCTTGGATGTGCACTCCTTTGGAAGGGGGCAGTGTTACGAATTTAGTACTTAAATAGCAAATCTTAGTGAAATTATAATTAAAATTGTTGTATTTCCCTGTGCAATGCAACATGTGGTATATTTTAAGAGAAAGCTACACTGGAAAATTAAAAATACAAGAGCATGTGCATTTAACATTGAATAAAAGTTTATCTCTGTAATTGATATTTAATTTAAATAAATGTAATTTACTACTGTGTTAGCTGTAACTGTAATTTTACTCTTTTTGCTTTCCAGAAATTGCTAGAACTGTCTTGCATGGCCATTTAAAAAGCTATAAAAGCCGGAGAGAAACATCTGAGCTCAGTTGTTTCGATAACTGTTGTTGTTGATTGTAGCGAATTCGCGCTGATATCAGATTAGCTTACTCTGCGCTTTGAATTGTGTTCTATTTACTGTTTTAGTACTTTAAAATATAGCTACTGATTATAGTGCATGATATTGTGATACTATATAAATATCTCTGAGGAAATATTTCAGCATTTGGTTTTATTTGTGAAAAGAATAAATTCTGTTAACTTTTTTTTTATCAGACTTGTGCATTCAATCTATTGAGCCCCTATGCACGCAACAATTTATTTCATATTTGAAATAATAGCTATAAATGCTTCATTTCATTCCCTTTTTTTCTGTAAAGTAATCATCATGCAATATAAATTAAAATAAAATATTACTCAGTTTTTGTTTAATATGTTGGGTAAATAATATTAAATGATTACATTAACCGAGATGTCTTTCTATTATAGGCAGTCAGGTTTAAGTGGAATTTCACATAGTGAATCCGAACTTAAATTTAGTGCAGAGTATTGGCAGTCATTTGAAAAAGCATTACCAAAAACTTGTGTATGGGACTGTGTAACTGAAATCTTAGAAAGATATAGGTATTATTTAATTATTTTATGGTGCATAATTTATGAATTATTTAACAATAAATTTAATGAAAATTATGGTTAAACATAATATAAAATTCCTTATTAAACTTACTAACACTTGCAGCTATAAAAACGATTCCACATGAACGCTTAGAAGTTGGGTGACCTAATTATAGGCTGGAGTTTCAGTCTTAAAAAGACGTCTGTTTGGAGATAGTCATGGTCCGATGACCTTCACTTCTCACAAATGGGGTTTTGTTAGCTCCCTTTCATTTTCCCTCAACAGTGCAATGTTACCTCTAGGCAAAAACTTTCAGTTGTGTTTCGCATGATAAACTTCCTATCTAGAATTCTACATAGTAGAGAATGTCTAGAATTTTACATATTCATATCAGTATAGATATCATATGCATATCCATACTGATATGCATATGCTATATACCTATGCAGATGAGGTGTTGCATGTATATGCAACACAAATGCGAATGTATAACATGTATATATGCTAATTGTGCACATGTATGAAAATATATGCACACATGGATAAAAGCATAAACATGTACATATGTTTAAATACCATGTATACAGTACAAAGTCCTTAATCTGGACTCGTCGGGACTTCGGCGATTCCGGATTATAGATCATCAATTTAAATCTGGTAAGATGGCATGCAAAAATTGCACAATTAAAAATATGAAGCTGTAATTTATGAAATAAAGAGCAATTATGATCTAAAGGGTATCAAAATTTACAACAAAAAAAAGTTAATTTTATTTGTTTACTTTATTAAACATTTCTTTAATGTAAGTTGTTTAAGGGTTCGTTTTTTGTGCTAATGCTTTCTCTTTAATTCTATAAACAGACATAATTTCTTTTTCATTTACAAAATTCCACTGTTTGAGTCCTGTAATTGCTGTGTCAAGAATACCGACTAACTTGTGAATCGAAATTTTTTCATTTTCGTTTCGTCTCTGTCACTTTCTTCACTATTGGAAGCGCGCATAGGTAAACGCTTTATGTGCACGCGTAAACGCATTACGTGCATGCGTACGTTTGTGGCTTTGAGGTCCGGATTATAGATCATTCCCGATAATGGACGTCCGGATTACAGACTGATGCAAAAGCAAAGTTTAAAGTTATAAAAACATTTAGCAGAAATAGCAATAGAAGCTCCCTAAGGTTATATACTGTGCAGACATAGAAGAAAAATTTTTAAACTTAACCAATTTATTAACAATATATATAAAAATACAATAAATAAATTTAATCAATTTCAGAAACTTAAAGAGTGTAACATAAATCATTGTCAAATTACACTTAGTTAACTATTCATTAACCCCAAGGGTTTTTCATTTAAAGAATATTACACTATCAATGATACAGTAAATATATTACCTGATCTTTAAATACTGGAATTCAATACGCGAAAACATATCACAGAACAAAAACTACACGATTAATATGAATTTCACTCCACTATAAATAGGTCCATGCTTTTGGCCAAGAAGGCACCTGAAAATTAAACTAAAACTTGAGTGCACTTGAACTGGCAAAAGCCGCTCACTGCAGTTGCTCACAGAAAATCACAGCTTGGAATTTATCCGCCGCCGATCTATAGAACAGGTTGCCGCCCACGGCAGTTGCTCACCGGAAATCATAGCTTGGAATCTGACGTCCCTTAACTTTGGAAACAGCATGCTGCCCACGGCAGTTGACCACCAGGAACCACAACTTGAGATCTATCGCCGTCGAACCATAGAAATAGGATGCTGGAACAGTCCGTTCTTTATACAAACAGTGGCAGTGGAAAAGTGAAGTAGAAGTAATTGCTATATGCCTTTAAAATAGGAACTAAACCTTATGTAAAAGTTAGAATTATTTCAGGGAGGAGAGATGATGCAGAAAAAGGGTTACAATAGGTCATATTTTCAACACAGACTTTGTACTGTATATGATAACTGTGTATGTGTATAGGTATACCCATATATATATGTGTGTGCATCTGTATATGTTTGAAAATCGCAAATTTAAATTCAGATATTATATTAATTTATATTTTTTCACATTTGCCATAGAATGAAAAACATAAAATAGACGAAATGCAATAATTTTCCAGTTATTGATAATTTTATGGAAAGAAACTAATTCCCCTTATAAAGTCAAGACTTTCTATGAGATCAGCAATAATTACTCTTATGTATTTGCCTTCTGTATTTCTTTTATTATAAATATTTGCAAACACAAAATGTGGCAAGAGAACAAAATGGGAAAAATATATTAAAAAAAAATTTAATACATTTTCCAAATTTTCCTTAGTACAGTTTTACAGAATTAACTAACATTTAACTAAAAAAAAAAAAAAAAGCCCTCATTAAATTAGCATGTACTCTTATTTTCCTAGGAGATAATCAAAATTAATATTAATAATTAAAATATAAATACATATGTATCCTTTTGCTTCAACCTTTTTTTATAAGAAATTTACTCATTGCTAAATCTGGTTATACCTTCAGTCAATTGAATATCACCTAATGGCATATCAGTAAAGTTGATTTACCCTGGTGGTTCTGAAAGGTTCTGTTCTCTACTGCAGCTAAATAAAATTTTTTCCTTCACATATGCATGTACAACGAACACATGGGCCAGTTTTTTGCAGAAAGTTCATAACAAATGCTCCCTAGCAGCTGAACGATAAAAACCACTGAACACTAGTAGTTCAGTCCGGGATTTGAATCCCAGCCAGTAGGGTGGCTTTATGGTTGTTTTCGAGGTTTTCCCCATGTGTAATATGCATACGAGCCAGTTCCCTTTAAAACATCTTACCTAATTGCGAAGCACATCTGGGACACATATAATAATAATAAATGTACTCCTTAACGATGTTATTTTTCCATATAGGCAAACAGCACTAGCATAATTTTGCAAATTCATACAATCTAATTTATCTTATTTCCTATTTTACAGAGAGACTGAATTACTTTTCTAAATAGGCCTTTTTTTTTTAAATCAAGAATGAAAATATCGTTGCTGTGGTGATATAATAAAGAGAAATGCTATTTTAATAACATTTGTAATTTAATTATTTTTACATTCTTTTGAAAATGTGAGCTAAATTCCTGCAGAAGTCACCTGTATAATAGCATCTATATTTTGCAGGATAATTATCTGTTTATGACAGTTCCTGCCTTTATATGCTTATCAATAAACTTCGGAATATTTGCATTGTGACCAAAGAACAAAGGGCTATCTGCCTGAGCGAGAAGGGGCTTCCTGGCGGACTTTTTGAGGAAAATTGGTTGGCCACATGTAGCCAGCTAGTTCAGTGAAATGTGAACCAAACCTAGCTACCAGTGTTCATTGATTTTACGCTGACCTCTGGTGGGTCTATATAAATAAACAAAGTTAATAAATCCACTGGAAATTTTATGGTATTAGTATTAATTTCGGTGATTTTTCAGTGTCATCAAAAAATGTATTTCCACCCATTTTTATTGTAATTTTTGTATTGGACTTCTACTTCCACCCCAATTTTGAGAGAAAGCACCCCTGGGGATGGTCCAAAGGTCTCCCACCCCTCACCTTTACCACCAAACCACACAAAAGGATTTTGGCTCGCCATATATTTAGAGTGCACCCATGCCACAAAAACACTATACATTTACAAACATCCATGCCTTCACTGTGATTTGAACCCATGCCCTTTGTTACTGCAGTAGGCTCTCCTAACTACTGTACTATCTGGGCGGCTGTAAATAATTGTAATAAATTCTAGTGGTTTTTAAAAATTTTCTAGAAATGTTTTATGTGAATATTCTTGCAGATCAATCCTCAATGCCATTAACTTCTCAGCTAATTTATGTCTTCATAGACCTTTGGCTACCCCAAGTGCAAATTAAAATTGGCCATACTTTTTCACAGAAATATAATACGTTTGATAAACATTTTGCTGCCCTTAAATGTGGCCGTCCACATGCTGCGCACCATCTTGCCCCCCCCTCTAAAGTGAGCCCTGTGCCTTCAACTAGCAAAAGATTTGGCCTTGAAACCAAGAGCAGGTTACTTTCACAATATGCAGTTCTTTTACTTCTTTGTACAAAGTAAAGGAAGTATTGTAATCGTAAAAATTTTTAGGTATCATATTTCAAGAAAAATATCTATTTTGACGGCTATTGAATATAATTTAACAATGTTTTTGGCTGACATCTGTACATAGAACAGAATAAAGAACTCTTTTCCCCAAAAAGGACTCAAAATGGATTCAGAAGAGATTTTTTTTCGTGACATCTGTATGTACATATGTATGTATCTCACATAACTCAAAAACGAGTAGCTTCGGTGCATTGAAATTTTGTATATAGGACTGCTATAACATGTAGTTTTGCACCACCCTTTTTGGTGGCAAACGGGCACAAAAAGTATCTAAATATATATATATATACTCATTGCTTAAGGAGCTCAGTTTTTTATTCTTATATATTGTTAAATTGTGCATTTTTTGCTTTAAAAGTGATTGAATTATGTTGTTCTTATCTTCTGATTCAAGTTTTTATGCCTTTAATCAATCTGCATGCAATAGTTGTAGAATTATCAACAATTTAAACGTTTAAGTGTCACTCAGCCTAATTTTTTTACCATAGCTGCCATATTTGTTTACATTTGAAACTTAGCAGAATAGTGAATTAAGTCAGCTTCTGAACCTTCAGTGTCATTTTGCCGAGTGGGACCAAAAGTAAACTTTCAGTTTTGGGCACCAAGAAATCTGCATTCTTGCCTTCTGGCTGAATTGCTCATTTTTGCTTAGAAACTTTAATTTTAATTGTAAAAATTGTTTTAACTGTATTTGGTATTTTATATTTTTCAATTTTTGATAAAAGTATTTTGAGGTTTTATATATTTTTGCCTTGCCACAAAGTGAGAACTGAATTAAATGAATAAGAACTATATCTGTAATGAAATGCAAGGAAATAAGTTTAAATGAAATGCTGCAAAAAATTCGTATAATTTAATAT